TAGCACAATGTTTTCCAGATTCATCAATGTTGTACTGATAATTACTGGTGATTGGAATGCGAAGTTTGGAAACAAAGAGGAAGGATCAGTAGTTGGAAAATAGGGCCTTGGTCATAGAAACAACGATGCTGGATATCACATAATAAAATAAAATTTAAATGACCAAGGTATTTCATTGAACATACCTTTTTTAGACAACATAGAAGGTACATGGACTTCACCAGACTGAATACAGGGGAATCAAATTGACTACAGGGATGGACACTTACTTTTTTGTTGACTGCTGTGACTAATATTGTAAGGAGCATTGGTATATGTAACCAGCATGTTTTAAATACTTGCCCAAATGACTAAATCGTTCTGACCCTTCTGTAGGGCCTACTTGAAGTCCCATTCTTCCAGAAAAGCCTTCCTGGACTTCATCCTGCACAAGTGACCAACCTGTCCTGTGGGCCTTATCATAATCACAGCCTGCTTTGTGCTGAACAGTAGTTACACAACTCTGAAAATATACTAAGAACCACTGAATTATACATTTTAAATGGGGTGAATTATTATATGGCAAGTGAATTATGTCTTGATTTTTTTTTATTTAAAGGCACTCTTAAATTGACTTCAACTTATGGTGAACCCATGTGTGTCAGAGTGGAGTTACACTCCACAGAGTTGTCAATGGCGAATTTTTTGGAAGTAGATTACCAGGCCTTTCTTCTGTGGTACCTGTGGGTGGACTGGAACGTTCAACCTTTTGGTTAGCGTTTGAGTACATTAACCATTTGATGTGACGCTGTCATATCAGCACTGGACTGCAAACCACAAGGTTGGCAGTTCAAATCCACCAGCTACTTCTTGGGAAACCCTATACAGGGTCTCTATGAGTCGAAAGAGATGCCACAGCACATAACAAAACAAAAACAGGAACTACTTATCTCAATAAAGCTGTTTAAAATCATGGTTTCAAATTTTTATAATATGGAGAAAGGTTTGATGACAAAAGCAGGACATACCATTTTAGCTCTGCTTTGTAATGTAAATTTATTTGAGTATATATAGTGATTACATATTGTTGTTATGTGCCAGTGAGCAGATTTCTGGCTCATGATGACCCGTGTGTTACAGGTTTTACTGCTTGGCTGTAATCTCTAGGGAAGCAGATCAGCAGGCTTTTCTACAGTGGAGCCAGTGGGTAAGTCTGAACTGCTAACACTTGAGTCAGAGCCAAGCACTTAACCACTGTGCCACCAGGGCTCCCTAGGCATTCAATATTAGAGAGAGCTGACGTTAAATAGGCAGGCAGGCAGACAGACAGACAGACAGATGATACATATACATGAGGGAGTTTCAAAAATTTCTTGGAAAAATTCATTATGTTTTAACTCCATTTTTCCATGAACTTTTTGAAGCCCCCTCATGTGTGTGTATACATGTGTGTGTGTATTTTTCAGTCTTTTTATTCATTGAGATTTGAGTGAAATTACAGAGCAAATTATTTTCAATTTATCAAAACAGTGTCTAAGCTACTCCTGGCCCTCCCCTTGCTAACTTGAGCCCCTCTTCCCAAACTCACCTCTCCCAGGTTTCATATACAGAGGGGAGTAGGGGAATGTGCCTTGGGAGATGTCTCGAGGACTTCATTTGTGAATGCCATCTTTTGTGAAAAATAACGCCAAGGGGAAGAAGAATCAGAATATTGCCAGCAGGTGATGTTTATAAAGTTTTTATTTTCCATTTTCTTAAAAATAACATTTGATTTCCTTTATGCATGTATGAAGTGTACTTGTTTCCTTAGGCTGAGTAATAGGCAGATAAGACGACATGAGGTGGTGTCCCCAGTGGAGCAGGGATGGGGTGTCAGAAGGGGCCACAGGGGAAAAGGGAGAGAGGGTCGAGGGTGATCCACAGGACGCTTGAGTGCCCATCAATGCACACACACGGTCTAACACTTTGTTTTTTGATTTTTTTAAAAGACATCTAAAATTACTGAGAGATACAATTTCAGCACTTAAATATACAGACGGAAATCCAAGCACTTGAACACAATTCTTAACTCTAAGCTCAGTTATTGCACATAACAACGTTTAAGTAGGCTTCAGGCTAGAAAGCAGTTGGCTCTGCTTGGGACTTCCTCAGGATGTCTCGAGTCTCATTTTGCACCCCCAGTGTCTCTTCCCTTTGACCCCTGTCTGCCCACAGTCTGACAATGACCCCAGGGGTCACAGGTCAGCCATTCCTTCTCCTGGGGGTGGGGACTGAAGGCTCAGAGCTTTGGTGAAATGGAGGGTTCTGATATTGAGACCAACGGGCCCCACTCAGAGGTGAAGTTGGAAATAGATGGAGACTATGAAGGGCTGAATGGGGCGGGGTGGGTTGTGAAGAGGGGCTGTGACCACCATCAGCCCAGGTGGTCAGAATGTCCCTCAGGCCATCATCAGCTCACCGTCCCCCTCATCCTTCCTGAGTTCTCAAGACAGGCCTCCTTTCCCAGTACCCTCAGGCTCTCTCGGAGTGGTTCCTCAAGGCACATTTATTTTCTCAACCCCAGCCAGCCTCTACCATGGACGGACATGCCTGCTTCTTCCAGCACCAGTGGGCCAAGGAGACCTGGGGTAACCAGGGCAGCTACGGGGCCAGCCAAGAACTGTTCTGTAGGATTTGGTCAAGCTCGTTGCCACTAGGTCTTAATTCCCTACCCTGCCTCAGAGAGGACATCAGTGTCGAGGGTATGGGAGATGGTCAAGGGCATGAATCCAACTGCTGAGGAAGAACCGACCTGAAACCTTCTTCATGAGGATACCTCCAGCTCATCAGCCAAACACTGACTTGGAGAAACACCTTTGGGGGTGGCCTCAGTCTCAGAGTAGGGGAGGAAGAGCAATGTGGGGGTTCAGAGATAGGGTGAGGCTGCCCCTCCAGGGTCTAGTTTAGCGCCTTTCTCATTCTTTCTAACATATATTTACAAGGTTCATACAAGGCCATATACACGTGCACACCGGAAGACCCAGAGACAGCAAGAGCACATGCGCCCTGAGGCGGGGGGCAGTGAGAGTACAAGGGTGGTCTTCCTCTGCACCCCTCCCACCCAGGACACCCCAGCATCCTCACAAGGAGGATGTTCCAGAAGTCTGAGGTGGGGCAGAGGGAAGAGATAGGCTCTGATCCTAGCGAGAGCATAAGTTTCAAGTAGCTCCAGGGTGAGCGCTTGCTCCAAAGAGCAGAGGGCTAAACTGAGCCAAGGTCCAGAGGAGGAAAGCGAGAAGACAGGGTAGGGGATTTGTGGAGGAGCTCTAGCTGCGCACGCGCAGGACATCTCGGCAGCTAGAACTGTGCTGTGGGATGAGAAGCAGTTTATGGGCCTAACTGGAGCTGCATTGTTTCCCCCAAAAGAGGACTGGAAGATGTTGATTCCCGGGCAGGTCAGAAGAGTGGATAAGGTGAGGAAAGTTGGGTAGATTCTTGGAGGAGGCTGGGAGATGCTTGCGGGAGCCAGACTGTGACATGTGTCCAGGTAGCCCCATCACACTGACCCTCACACTCCCACTCAACCAGCACAGCCACTCACCAGACTGCCGGGTGCCCCACCACACTTACAGGCCACACCGGAGGGCCCCCGAGTGTGCACACACACTCTCACACTCACACACACTTACACACAGTGCTCACTGCACCCAGAAAGGTATCGGGGCCCAAGACCCAGTAAGAAATTGTTCATCCAAGTTGTTCAGAAGTTTGCCTCAACAGGGAGAGCTGCACAGATTTTTTAAAAAGGGGGGACACCCTTCTTATCAGACCTAGCTCCCACCTGGTAAGGAGATCTGGCGGGGGACAGTGAGGTGTGGCTTTAGAGTCTAGCTGCTCCTGTCCTGTCCCCACGGACTTGTCACGCCTCCTAAGCACTACACAGCTTCACAACAGAACGGAGGGAACTACCATCATTAGCAGTCCTAGGGGGGCCTCGGGGGGGGGGGGAGAGAGGGAGACCCCAGGGGCTGGGAATGGAAGAGGGGGCTCCAGAGCAGGAAACCTGTGGTCTCAACTGCGCTGTTACGGGGTCCAGGAACAACCCTTCTTGTGGGTCTGGGAGTCGGGGGTCTCTAGTTAAGGAGTCACAGGGTAAGGGAAACACAGCAACCACCCTAGCCAGGACTCTTACCCGCTGTTCCTGATCCTCAGACTCCTTAGTGTGGACCAGGGGCCTAAACAAAAGGGGCAGGGGGAGGAGCAGCACCCTACAACTGCACCATGTGGGCGTCAGACAGTGCTTACCCTGCCCACTCCCCTCCAGGGTTGCCACATCTCCACTCCTAAAACCTTCACCCATCACCTCCTCCTCCTCCTCAGCCTTCTCCACCCTCTCGGCTCTGTGGTCACACTGGCTTGGGAATCCCGCAAAGGGAAGGGGATGCTGTGGCTGGGTGTCCTTGCACATCTCATCCGAGGCTGGAGGGATGTCACAGTCACATCAGCCCAGCCTGGGGGACAGCCAGCCAGCAGAGAGATCCCTCATTCCCTTAGACCAGAGCTTGACCCCTGAGGAAGAGGGAGAAGGGCAGCATGGGCAGAGGAGGGGGCAGGGCTGTGGAGCCAAGGACCCACAAGATGCCAGATGGGGTGGGCTTGGTTAAGGGATGTGGCTGGGGGCATCTCATTTCATCAATTTTGACCTGTGCTAAGTGTATGGATACAAATGTGTGTCTACTGAAACCAACAATTAACAGGAAGAAAACACTACGTGGAGCTCACAGGGACTTCTGGGCGGCTCCCCACCAGGAGCAGTGTGGGTCAAGAACACATTGTCAGCGCATGCCGCACGCACACACGCACCCAGGCACACATGCCACACGCATGCCATGCACACCACACATCCAGTCTACCCACTGAAGGCAGGTCCTTCGACCCCACGTCGTGGATCCATTTGATAGGCTGTCGGCGTCTGTCCAGGTCTCTGTCGGCCCCTCTCCCCCGGCACTGGCAACCTGGCCTGCCCGGCTCCCTGCAGCCATCTACCAGATGTAACCCCCATCATCAGCCTCAACCGCCTCTCCTTCCTCCTCTTCAGCCTCCTCACCGGCTTCCTCCGTGTCCTTCTCTTCCTCGTCCTCCCAGCCGACACCGCTCCCAAAGTCCCCTGAGAAGCCCACGATGTCGTCTGTGATATGGACACACAAAGGGGCTGGTTAGGAGCCTGCTCACCCCCTCTCCTCCTCCTCAGCAGGGACTCTGACCCCCTGAGACAAGGTCCACAGGGGTTTCTGCAGACTCAGGCCCCAGTTGTCCTTACCGCAATCGGGGCTCCCGTGTGTGCGGCTGCCTGTCAGCTCCAGGCCCAGCTGGTCCACGCACCAGCAGTCACCGCTGCTGTGGTCACACTGCATTTTCTGGTAGTAGCCATCCTCGTCACAACTTGGGATGAAAACACCTGAGGAGACCCAGTAGGGTCAGAGCAGGGCACAAGCAGTGTACACCACAGTGCTCGGTCACACCAGACACTGACCTCGCAGGGCTCACAGACTGGGGGCAAAGAACCCCACTTCCCTAAATGTCCTGCAAAGACCCCTGATGCTCTATCTTCCATGGGAATGTCTTTGCCTCAGCCTCCTGGAAGGGCAGCAGTCTGCCCTCGTGTCTGACGCTGCCCCCCAAATGCCACCACAGCATTGTCTCCTTCCCTGCAACACCCAGGCCTCTCTCGTCAGCTCCAATCTGCCACGCCTCTTTCCTCTGGTCATCAGACATCTTCCAAGATCAACATTCAGAGGCCAGGGGTAGGGAGATGGGACACACATAAAAAAAACCAGTTGTCATCGAATCAACTCCAACTCCATGTGTGTCAAAGTAGAACTATGCTCCATGGGGTTCTCAATGGCTGATTTCGGGGGTGTAGATTGCCAGACCTGTCTTCCAAGGTGCCTCTGGGTGGACTTGAACCTCCTACCTTTCAGGAAGTAGTCAAGCACATATGCAGGGGACTCCTGAGACACACAACACCTGTACTGCCAGGTAAAGTCAGGTGCCATGTGACCAGGAGCAGGTGGGGAGACACGGATGAGGTGGCAGCAGAATGGCAGCTTCCTCAAAGGCCACCAGCTTGTTGGCCATCAGCATGCTGCCACAGAACTTCCTGTGTTGGGTTTCATGTGTGCTGGCCTTGAGGACACACTAAATGCAGGGCTGCTTTTGAGGGTCCGTAAGGCCCTGACCTGAACTCTGAACCTCTCTGACCATCAATCATGGACATTTTCTCTGTTCCCTAGGAACCTCACACTTTCTCCTGCTTTTGGGTCTGCCCTTGGCTGTCACATTCTCAGCCTTTGGGTCTGCTCCTCAGAGAGGCCTTTGCTGACCCCTTAGATGAATTTAGACTCCTTTGTCCTATACCCCAGGACCTAACTGACCTCCACACATCCCGGGGGGTTGTTTGTATCATTTACACATGTGTTCCCCATTTGGCTGGGCTTGTTGCTGTATCTCTCCAGGAGTGGCCCTCAAGTGTCTATTGACCACATGAGGAGGGGTCTTGCCCAGCTCTGTCCATGAACGCACAGGACAAGGAACGCACTTTCTTCTGCACTCCAGCCCCCAATCTGGCATAACTAGACACCACCTTAGTGCTTAAAACATACTTTTCAAAGGGCTTACTAAAAGGAGCTCTGGTGGCGTAGTGGTTACGAATCGGGCTGTGAATCTTCAGAGGGCTTATTGGGAGACCCTGCTCCACGACAAGGGTGGAACTGGGAAGAAGACACTCTCCTGTCTTCCTAACACCCCTTACCTGGCTGCTTCTTGGCGGCTTCCTGGATTTGGATGCGCTCCAACTCTGCCAGGCAGGGGGGCTCTGTAGAGAGAGAGAAGCAGCCTTTGACAGGTGTCCCTTGGTGCTGCTGAGGTACATGGAGCCCCACAAAGCTTAGAAATCCAGGTAGGGAGCTCTGCAAGATGATACATCCAGGCTCTGATTCGGGGCTTACCGTGATGGTACTGGGGACCGCTGAGCCCTCTAAGGTCCTCAAAGCCCATGAAGGACGCCTTGTATGACAAGATATTTTCAACAGGGGGAGCTACCCACAGTGCTGAGAGATGGACTGAGGTCTCCCAAGAGCCAGATTCTCCGGGCTCCCTGTGGGTAACCAGGATTCAGAAGAGGTTGGTGAACGCACAATACTCCAGGTGAGAGCGCCCAGAGGAACATAGGATAGAACTCCTAGACTTAGAAATAAGAAGCAGTAAAACCTGGAGCTCAGTGGAGACTTGGGAAACCCCTGGCCCCACAAGCTTGAGGTGGGTTTCTATAAAACTAGAACCAATCCCGGCCTCCTGCCCAAGAAAGCCAAGGCATGGAATGGACGAGAGATGCATCAAAGGCCCTAAAAGTCAAAGTGGTGGTACAAAACAGGCCACAGGAAACTGAGTCCCGAGGGGCTCAGCCAACTGGCCTGGAGTGAGGTTGGCCCCGGTGTCCTGTCTTGCTGACCCCGCCCCCAGGTGGGGAAGCAGTACACCATCTGCTAATACCATTTGTAGAGGGACTTGGGGTTGACACTGTGCTCCGCACGTAGATGATTGTAGGTCATCCTCACCGTCTCTGAGGAAGGTATTGTCATTTCCCCACTCAGATAAAGAAACTGGACTCCAGGAGATTCTGTGACTTGCTCAGGACACCCCAAATTGGCATAAGTTAGGACACCGGGGCCAACCCCATTCCAGGCCAGTCGGCTGACCCCTCAGGACCTCAGTCTCCCCACCAATGACATTACTCCTGGTTGAGATGATCCCTAAGCACACTGGTGGCTCTGGTTGGGGGTTATATACCCAGCAAGTGGTACCACATCAATGAAGCTAGCGACAGCCTACATGGTCACTTCCATGGGGCAGTGAACCATTGAGAAGCCCATGCCACTTCAGCTTCAACTCACTTACACAACCCCTTCCACAGCTCCTGAGGGGCCCTAGAAAGTTTACATTTGTAGTTTGCAAAATCCTTTCTTACTTTTCAAGTGCATAAACTTCATGGCCCACAAAATCTGGATCCACCTAAGTGCATGCCAAGAAAGGGAGTTTACAAGTAAGTGCTGGCTTCCCTGGATGCTAAAAGATGAGACAGTTCTAGGCCTAGGCAGGAGACCAAGAGGGAGCCTCTCTGATTCTGGGTCTTTCTCCCCTGCTTTGGCTCTTCTGGCTGCTGCCTGGAGGCAGAGGCAAAGCCTACACAGGAGGGTTAGGGGAGACCAGAGATGGGCCACACTCACTCTCTCTCCAGAAACAGAAGCACCACTCAGCAGTGGAGACCTGGCCGTCCTTGTAGGTGTCACAGGAGTTGAAGAAGGGGCGGATGCAGATCTCGTATTTGTCTAGGTTAATGGCGGCCAGCTCCGTCTGATCCAGGAAGAGGTCGGCGCTGGTGTCCAACTTGGAGAACATCCAGCCAATGGAGTCCTTGCAGCTGGCCCCTAGATTCTTATCTAGCCCTGGGGAGAAGACCAGGACTCAGACAAGATCAAGGTAAACTGCTCTGTCCATCTGTCCCTTCATCCCTCCACCTCTCCATTAGTTCCAAGGCACTGGTCAAGGTCAAGGCAGCTACAAATCTACCATGGGGTTTAGAAACTCAAGAATGGCCAAAGGTCCATCCTTCACCTCTAGATATGGTGGTTATATGTTATGGAGTCGATTCTGACTCGTAGCGACTCTGTATAGGGTTTCCGAGGCTGTAAATCTTTACGGGAGCAGAAAGCCTCATCTTTCGCCCGCAGAACAGCTGGTAGTTTCGAACTGCTGACCTAAAGTTCGCAGCCCGATTCGTAACCACTATGCTACCAGAGTTCCTTTCACCTCTAGATAGGGTGCACCTAAGTAATGTAGAATAATGGTTATGAATCGGGCTGCTAATCTCATGGTCAGCAGTTCGAAACTACCAGCTGTTCCATGGGAGAAAGATGAGGCTTTCTACTCACATAAAGATTTACAGCCTCAGAAACCCTGTACAGGGTCACTATGAGTCGGAACTGACTCCACGGCACATAACAACAACAAAGTAATATGAAGCGCTACCTTAAAAGCCCTTCCTTTCCCTTGACTACCCATTTCAGGGTTTAAGCTTCCTCCATCCACCCTTAAGAATGTCTTTTAAAAGTTCTTCCTAATAGCTAACCTAGATCCCTCGTACAGTTGACGTTTATGCCCCTTGTTCAGGGTTGGATTCTTATGAACCCAGTCTGGTGGGCTTCCAGCAAGGGTGTCTCCCCTACCCTCTCTCCATCTCCCTCCCTCATCCCAGACAAAGCACCCCAACTTCTGTACCAGAGGTGGGGCTGGCCCCGCTGCTGGTGGAGCCATTCTGCTTGGAGTTCTCATGAAGGAGCTGAAACCAGTCCCGCAGACGATCCCCCAAGTCTGCCAAGTCCTGGCCAGTGCAGGTCTCTGCAGGCAGCAGAACAGGGACCAGGGGACAGAGGGAGAAGTGAAGTAAAACAAGCCTGATGTCAACTTGGGATGTGTCAGGGACGCATTGTGGGAGGAAAGTTAGAATTCAGATTCTTCCTCTCCCATCCTCCCTCCTTCCTAATGAAAAAACCACAGCACCAGCTTCCTGTGGCCGATCCCCTGTCCTCCACCCCAGCCCACAGACAGACACCCAGGGAGAAGAAATGAAGCAGAGGCCCCATGCCTTCCTGCTCGGGGTCATCCATTGGGACCACGTATCCCTGAAGGAGACCCGCCCTGGACTGGCAGTGGCCTGGAGCCCACTCCTCTACCTGATTTGCCATCAGTGGTGGAGGTGGTGGACTGTTCCGTGGGGCAGGGGCAGGGACCCTTGCATCTCACCACCAGCTGCTTGTTGCTCAGACATGCCTGCTGTTCCAACTTACACTGCAGGAGAAAAGAAGCTGAGCTGGAGGCTGGAGGTCCTGCCCATGGGTCCCCCAGCTGGGGCACCCTCAAGCCTACCCTGGCAGCCACATCTGTCTCCCCGCTGGAGACAGGAGGGGCAGCCCTTCCATCTTCTGCAGAACACAGTGCACAGTGGTATGAGTGGCAAGCCCAGAAGTGCTGTCCAAGATGCCCAGGACCCCATGACCCCACCAACCCACTGCCTTGGGGGTCTATCCTAGTCCACAGCTTTCCTTTCTTTGCTGCTGTTGCCTCCCTACTGGAAACTTTCCTCAATGGCCTTCCCACAGGCACCTCCACTAGGATTTTCTCAGTTCTCTTCCTAACAAACAGCCACCGTTGCCCACTCTGAACTTCTGGCCACTCCCCAGCCTTCACTAGGAGACACTTGTATTCCCGTGTTACTGTAGTTTCCCCTGCTGGGATCTTTGTTTCTCCCTGATGGGAAGTGGATGGTTGCAGCATTTTCCCTTCCCTCACCTGGGCCCCCAGGGGCCTGTGAGGAAGGAACAGTGCTTCTTATGCTCTGCAAAGAACAGTGAGGCTCAGAGAGACCAAGGGCGACCCTGTCCGGGGGGCACAGGGCTAGGATGGTCTTCACCTTCCTATGCAACAGCAGCATGGTCCTTGGACCACACCCTTACTCAAGCCTCCCTTTGCCTTCACATGACACAGTGCCTTTCTCCTTCTCTGTCGACTCAGCCTCTGTCTCCTTTTTGGCCTCACTAGCTTGGAGCCCTGGTGGTACATGTGATTCATTACTCAACTACAGACTAAGAGGCTGGCAGTTCGAACCCACCCAGAGGTACCTCAGAAAAAGGCCTAGAGATCTACTTCCAAAAGGGCATGGCCTTGAAAATCCTGTGGAGACGTCTGACTGTATACACAGGGTTGCCGTGAGTCCGAATCGAATTAACTTGACGGCAACTGTGCTATTTGGGTTTTAAAATGTGGCTTCTGCCTTAGTCTTCATGTTCCTCTCTCTTTCACTCCATCCCCCTGGGTGGCGTCAGGCCCGCCACATCAGCCAGACCAGATGACTTCAATCCGCATCTCACAATCACGACTACAGCCTGCATTTCATGGTACTTTGAAGCTTATAAAGCATTTCTGCAAGTATTCACCAGCTGCCCTCCAGTTAATTCTAACTCACAGTGACACCGTGTGTGTCGGTGGAACTGTGCTGGAAAACGCCACAGATGTAGCTTACTTCTGCTCTGGGACACACGGTCACCGCGAGCTGGGCCCAACTCAAGGGCACCAGGTTTCTGTTTTGATTTTGCACAACTACTGTCTCACCCAATATTGTCCTCAGAAATGTCTCATAAGGTAGGAATCCATTCCCCTAGCCACATGGTCTTCTCACAGAGGATTATTTCTTCCTTTCCCAGAACAGCCCCATGGCTCACTGGGGAAAATCATGGCCCATATGCGGAAATCTGCTTGTGGGGAAACTTCTCTGTCCTTTACTGACCTGCTAACAAGTGGGTGTTTCCCTTCCACAGACATTTGTGAGGCCCTTACCTCACTTAAGGAGCCCTGATGGCCCTGTAGGATAAGCCCTGGACTGCTAACCGAAGATCACCAGCCTCCCGTGGGAGAAAGATGAGGCTTCCTGCTCCCTTAAAGATTTACAGCCTCAGAACCCCTATGTGGAGTTTCTGTGAGTCGGAATTGACTTGAAGGCAGTGGTTTTGGTTTGGAGGTTTACCAGCCCATGTGTCTCACATGGGCCCCACCCCTACCTGCATCTGCTCTAGTTCAGGTACAGAGTTTGACTCAGACTGGGCCATCCTGGTACTTGGGAGCAGGGGTGCCAGGGTGCAGGGCCTGAGCTGCAGGTGTCCTTCCTATGGGTGTTCCTGAAGTGACCAAGCCTATCTGGCCCCACCTCAGACATGGCAACCCCAGTCTCTGTTCCCTGTGGCCTCGGGTGTGCCCTCCCCACATTCCACCTGAGGTCCCAACGCCTCACCACGGAGCTGTAGGTGTGACCATCAGAGCCGCAGACAGAATCGAGCTGTGCCATGTGACAGGGCTTGCAGATGGTGTCTTTGTTTCCATGGAGTTTCAAGGCAGGCTGCTTGATTCTAGAGAAGGAGGAGGGCACAGGGAAGGAGGAAAAATGAGAGGGACAGGAGAAAGGAGGGTTTGGAAGACCCATTCTGACAGGAAGCTTATGTCTGTGGCCTATAGCCAATTTGGCCCTGCTCCCTGCCCATCCCCCTGCTCCTAAAGGCGGAACCAACCGAGCAAGGCACAGACCCCCAGCTTCCCCGTCTCCAGGGGAAGGCTGAGTTCAACAGAGCCTTCAGGTAGCAACTCCAGGTTCAATGTGATGGAGAAGGTGAGTCAGACTTTGTACATCAGACCACATCTGAAGCCGCACACTTGAGGGGCACGTCTCATCTGCAGACCTGTTTTGTTTGGCCTCTAAGGTGTATGTTGGTGCTTTTAAAATTGAACTATTTGCCAACATTTACAAAATAGGAAAGTTTGCATAAAAATCTCAATTTCTGGTTTTTCCAGAAAAGGAAAGATTTGTCTGTCCTGGCCCTACCTTCCAGCTGCCCCCTTTCTACAAGGTCTGCCTTGACCAGTCCTCTTTTATTTGTATTACCTGCCAGGCCCCTGTCGGCACTGGACACTACAATCCTCAGTCTCTGGTCTGAGTCTCTGATTCGGGAACACACTGCCATCAAGTCAGTTACAACTCAGAGACCGTCTAGGACACAGTAGAATGGCTGCTTAGGGTTCCAGACACACACTGCAAGTCTCCATGGGAGCAGACTGCCTCATCCTTGTCCTGTGGAGTAGCTGGTCACTTTGAGCCATAGACCTTGCAGTTAGCAGCCCCACGCTTAACCCTCTGTACCACCAGGGCTCCTTATACTTTGGGGAAAGACGGAGGAAGCTGAGACTTTCTGCGTGCAGGTATCGGGACCAGGTAGGATCTTATCATTGTACTGAAGCTGCTGCTGCTGCTGTTAAGTGTTGTCAAGTTGGTTCCGATTCACAGCAACCCTGTATAGTGTTTCTGAGGAGCAGCTGGTGAGTTTGAACTGCCAACCTTGTGATTCAAACCAACCTTAGGTCTAGAGCTTCTTCTCCAGCATCACACCAGGACTCCATATTGGAGCTGAAGTCTCCTCCCCATGAGTTTTGGAAGCTACAACCTTAAGCATGCCATGACATCGTTGTATGTGAGAGCTAGAAGGAACCTCAAATGATCCAGTCCAACCCTATTAGTCTTACACATATAGACACTAAGGTCCAGAGAGGAGATGCGTTCCACAGTGTTTGGGATTGTCCTCACAGGGTATGGTGGTTTTTAAATACATCCGCAAATTCTTTGACACTCTTCCCTTCAAATGATGGAGCCTAATGTCCCTTCCCCTAGAATGTGGGCAGCCCTGAGTAACTGGCTCCTAATAAACAGGATGTGGCAGAAATAATGGTGTGTGGCTTCTATGACTAGGTCATAAAAGACACTGTGGTTCCTTCTTGCTCTCTCTGTTGAATCACTCACTTAGAGGAAGCCAGCAGCCACGTTGTGAGGAAACTCAAGCCGACCTCTGGAGAGGCCTGTGTGAGTAGGAACTGAGGCCTCCAGCCAACAGACAGGTAAGTGAGCTTGGAATGGGTGGAATGGGATCCTTCAGCCCCAGTCAACATCATAATTGTAACCTTGTGACAGACCCTAGGTCAGAACTATTCAGCAGGACCACTGCTGGGGTATTCATGCCCAGATACTATGTGAGATAATACAGTGCTTTAAGTCACTATGTTTTGTTCTACAGCAACAGGTGACAAATAGAGAAGGACAGGACAGTCAAGCCCTTACACTTTGGACAAACCTCTGGGCTCCCAGCCCCTCACCTGTGCTCCAGCTTCTTGCGACTGATGCACATGGCGCGCTGGTAGCCTTGGGCAACGCACATCTTGTGGCGGCTGCACTTCACTTTCTGGCAGGGATCCTTGGTGGTGTCCAGGGCTGAAGGGATGCAGGGTAGGGACACAGGTCACCTGGAAATCGGTGCCAGAAAACCCAGGAATCCCCAGCTCCACTTCTGAGCTGGGAGGTCCCTCCCTTCAGCAGCCTCAGCTCAGAACTCCCACCCTCATGAGAGTCTGGCTGCTCTAGGGTACCCCAAGACCAGTACTGGGATCTGCCCATTGCTCTCATGTCCTTATGGGTGCCAGACATCTTCCCTGACCTGGGAAGAGCTCGTTACCTTCGTCTCCCTGCTGATTGTCCTCCCAGCTCTTGATGTAGTCATCCTACAGAAGGACAAAGTTGGGGGAGAGGGACAGGCTAGGATTCACATCCTAGAGCAAGTGACTTCATGGCCAAGGAGAGGAGAGGGCTGGGCTACTGTTCCCATGTACAAATCTGCCCCCACTTTAGTGGCTGCCTAGATGTCCCCTGTCTACTGCCTTCTCCAACCTCTATGTCTAAAAGCCCATGTCCAGACCCCTTGCAGCCTCTCCCACACATTCCTCCTTCCCCCATGTGGAATGCTGGTAGGGAAGAAGAAGAAATCAGGGCGAGGGCATGGAGGGAGCAAAGGGGAGAGTAGGGTGTGCTGTACTCACCTCCACTTCCTGGGGATCAGCAAACAGCAGTAGGTTACAGGAAACACAGCAGGATGAGAAAGGAGAGAAAGGAGATCTCAGTAGGTAGCCCACCCTTAGACCACAGGTTCCAGGTTTTCCCTGGCCTCACCATCTGGCGGTGGGTGCCGGGCAATGGCCTTTGACTATTAATATGGACTGAATTATATCCCCCAAAATAAGTGTTGTCGGGCTTCCCCTTCCCTGCCTCTACCCTTCTCTCCCTCCCAAATTAAGAGAAAATAAAAATGTGTTGTGGCACTGTGGGATAAATGCTGGACTGCTAGCGCAAGATCGGTGCTTCAAACCCACCAGTCACTCCTTGGAAACCCTATACAGTGTCACTATTAGTAAGAATCCACTGCATGGCACAGCAACAACCCTGTCTCTGATGATAATCCTATTTGGGAATGTGTTTCCTTTGTTAAGTTAATGAGACAGTATTCATGTATGGTGTGTTTTAAACCAAAACCAAACCCACTTCCACTGAATCAATTCTGACTTACAGTGACCCTACAGAACAGGGTAGAACTGCTCCTCAGGGTGTCCAAGACTATGAATCTTTTAGGGAGCAGAAAGCCTCATCTTCCTCCCACAGAACAGCTGATGGGTTTGAACCGACGCCTACCTTGTTAGCAGTCCAACACTTAACCCAGTATGCCACTGGGCTCCCTGCTCTGAAACAGGAGATTAAACAAACGAAAGAAGCAGGGATGACAGAACCTTCTGAGGTAGGACATTCCCACTAGAAAGGAGAAGTAGACCAGCCTGGAACAGCTAGAGCAACAGAAGATATGTCTTCAAAGAAAGATCAGGAAAAAAACAAAACAAAAATGGCAGTATGACTGGCAACTACAAGAATAAGAAAGTTGTTCGCCAGGAAGCCATCAAGGCAAGCAATCAAGTCCCTTTAGGACAAACCCCCGTCTAAGACTGAAGCTCAAAGGGAACACATGAGCAGGCATGTAAGCTTGCTGGCGACCACATTGGTCTACTGATGAGTGGAACAGGGGGAAAGGCAGCAATGAAGAAATGGGCTGAGTTCAACCACGTTCCGTAGATTCCTGTTGACCTGGAGATGAGAGAGAGAAGAGGAAGGGCTGGTTGGTCCAACGTGTGATGAGACCTGGGGACACCTGAGCCCATGGACAAGGACATAGCCACAGAGGGCTAGAGCTGAGAGTGAAGCATCCAACTGATATGAAGTGAGGGGAGATGCACAAGAACAGCCAAACTTGCATACAGTACCCATTTCACCTAGCCTCGATGGCTTGATAATCAGAACTCGACTAGAAGAAGATAAACAAAGAAATATTTTTTGATAAAGGAAACAAGGATAAATTGCTACAATTTGATGAACTTGACCTATACTCATGGCTGTAATAGCTCAAAATACCAACAGAGAGAGAAGGGGTCTTCACATCAACTATCAGTGCTATCCCCTCTGTACACAGGGTAGACAGGGACGGACAATGTAGACATCGGCTACCTAAAATGAGGGGGCAATAAAGGCATGAAGTGACTGGCTTACAAGGTTTCAAGAGGGAGTTTAGTTTAAGAGTATTGAGGGGGGGCGGGGAAGAAAGAGTCCCCACTGAATAGATTACATCTTGTCTAGATGGGTCTGGTGAAAAGAGATGCAGATAAAATTCTTATGATTCAATAGTGAATAATTGTTATCATGACTAACTGCGACTGTCACAATTGTAAAGGTAGAAGTTTTGTAACAAAAACTGGGGAGCATTTCAAAAAAGAATGTCCAGAGATAAAGAAGTGAAGGAAAAATGATTCCCCACATGATACTTTTTAATCTTTTGTAATGGTACCTAACTGTAAGATTTGGGTTAGGATTAGAGAGGATGAGAGGTGGATGAGTGTAAATATGAGACCTCTGACTGAAGAGGAGAAAGGAAAGATTGACTTCTGTGTATGGTTTAAAGAAGGCAATAGGGAAGAGCTGGAAATTCCAGCGTTTGGAGTGAAACTAAAAAGAAAAAAAGAAAGAAACCTGTGGAGGTGGTCCAAAGGGTCTTCTGCCAGTAATAAAGGGCCTAGTGATTTTTTTTTTTTTTTTTTTGATATGGTAGTTTTCAAATACAATGCTTTCATAGACTAAAAAAAACAACAACTGGGGAGTAATCTTACAGCCCAGAAACAGAGAACCCTAGGACTGTCAAGGGTGAAGAGCACAAGCGGAATGCAGAACCTTATCGAGAGAAGCAGCAATACCAGAGATGGAGGCAGAGATGGGGACATGGAGAGAGGGAGCAGTTGAGGACTCTAGATTCATGGGAAGAGAGGCACTGAGAGCTGGTGGCCAGGAAGCAGGCTTGCAGAATGTGTGCTTTGGTGGTTTAAATTATTATATATGCCTGAGGGTTAAAAAAAAAAAAAAGTTAAATAGAGAGAAATACTGTTAACTGATGGTACATGGAGGGGATTATAATCATTGTAATGAAACAAAGTATATGATTTGTTGAATGTAAAACTGATGATCTGCCCTGTAAACTTTCACTCAATTCACAATAAAAACTTTTTAATGAAAAAAAAAAAGAAGAAGCAGCAGCCAGGATGAGGGGAGAGATAAGATACCAAGTCTCAGAAGAGAAAAGGACCTTACTTTCAAGCAGACACAGACAGAGACCCTTTGTCTAAAACTGGGTACTCTGAATTAGAAACAGCCTGCTGACTGTGAGAAAATCAATGTGTTTATGCAGGCCATCCATTTGTGGCGTTTGCCCTAGGACACCACTAAAGAATTAAGGCGATTACTATTGTCCTCTCATGGGACTGCTAGCAGGGGCTCTGGTAGAGCAATGTGTTAAGCATCGGACTGCTAATTACAAGGTTACCGATTCAAACCCACCAACTGCTCCAAGGGAGAAAAATGAGGCTGTCTGCTCCCATAAACATTTAATGTCTTGGAGCAGTTCTACCCTCTATATGAGCCCAAATCTCTGTGAGTTGGAATCAATTCTATGGCAGTGGGTTTGGGCCCCAGACTTACCAGAAGTTGTCAAGAGTAGTTATAAGGGTGGGGTAGTGGCCCCCTTCCCGTATTCCTGGACCTGCCTGGCACACCCCAAGCAGGACAGATGTCTGTAGGACTCATAAAACCCCAGGAGCAGTGATTCTTAGTTTGTGTGCCCTGAAGGCCCCAGAAATACCTCTTTCCCTTTTCTGCTGGGGCCCCTCTGGAAGCCCCCTCCCGACACCTGCCTACCACATGAGTGCATGGAGGAAAGAGCCTCTTTCAGGTGCACAGGTGGAGAGCAGATGATGGCTGGATGAAAGGGGGCCATGCTCTGTCCCAATGTGGGTGGCCCCCCAGTAACCAGGATCCTGCTCAAATCCTCAGATTCAGGTGATTCTAAAAGCACCTCAGAGGTCTTCTGCTTCAATCTCCTCAGGGTGCAGGAGATTGCCCAGAAAGCCCAGAAAGGAGACGCACCCATACCCAAGGCCCACATCACACAGCCCAGATCTCCTGGCACTTGGCAGAACACTGTCTTACCTGCTCCAGCCTCAGGAGCTTCCCAAGGGCCTGTGGACCCCAGAGTGGCCAGAGGTAGTGCAGCTTCCCCCAGCCTGACAGGACACCCTCAACTTGTTCTGGCTCCTCCCTTTCCTCTATGAGATGGGAGAGGTTGCTAGAAACCAGTCAACACATCCAAGGGTTCTCCTGCTGGGGCTCTGCCAGGCAGTCAGGGAGAAGGCTTCTGGGGCCTGGAAGCTGGCAACACCAAGAAGCCATTTGCTGCTACTGCTGGACTACGCTCCAGGAGAAGCTACAGAGGAGCAGAGGCTGATGGAAGTCATGCTCCGCTGTACCCTTCACCCTGAGTATCACCTCCACCCAAGGATGAGAGATGTGTCAGTGGAGGCAGAGGCCACAGTGAGGGCAGAGGTGTGGAAGATTGCTGCGTGAGGGCTCTTCTACCAGAGGGCACCCATCTGGGGGCAGCCACTGGCATGGGGAAGGGCACCACAAGGGCTTTGGGGCCTCTGAGCTTCCCCCAGAAGCTGGCAAGCATTGAGGAGCAGGAAGGGACAGGAAAAATTTCCAGCACAACCTGGCAAAGGCCAGAAAGGGGCCAGGGCCATGCAGGCAGGTGGAATGCATTATATAGAGGTGGGTACCTGGGTGTGTGCCATGCACAGGTCTGAACATGAATCATACAACTTGTATGTGTACAGACATGTGTGCACAGGTCCCCACTAACAAGCATGTGTATGCACACACACATGTGCATAGATAGCAACAATGCATGCTGGGTATGTGTAGGAAAACAAGGACACTTTGAAACAGTCCACCCAATGCCAGATGGTTCTTATCCAGAAATGAAGTAACAGAATCCACTCCTGTGAGCAGCCTCCCGTTTTCACACTTGAGTATGGAGGCCCTCCCTCAGGCTCTGCCTTCCTCTTCTCTTCTGTAGTGAGAGATGGGGGATGGAGTAGAGGCCCACACCCGTTCTCTCTGTGAGAGCCTGGCTTGCGTGGCCCTCTCTCTTGATCTGTAGCTGTCTGTGTGCCTGTCTTTCTCCCTCTCTCTCTCTCACTGGGTCTCTCTCCTATCCTTTTACTCTGGCCACATCCACTCTACATAAACATGTCCACTGATTCTGAAAGGCCCAGGGGCCAGCAGAGGGAGGCCTGGGCCTTCCTCTGGGTGCTGGACACAACCAGCCCAGCTTCCTGGGTACCCGCCCAGATTCCATAACACTTTCTGGGCAAGCTTCTGAGGACATGACTTGAGAAGAATGTACTTGTGTGTCAGTAGGAGGTGCAGGGACCCAGCCTTCGGCAGGAGCGCCTTACGGTCTACCCCATGACAAGTGGGAAGTGGAGGCTGGAGTCACAAAGGCCAGGGTTATAGGACTGGGCCTCCAGCACAATGGGGCCCCCTGGAAGGGTGATGAGGTTATAAAAAGGGCAGCAGACATGGCTGGTCTTTGGAAGGCTGATGTGAGATTCCTGCCCTCAATCAA